TTTTTTTTTTTTTTTTTTTTTTTTTTTTTTTTGAGAAGTCCATCATAATTTTTGTATTCAAATCACAAGATTAGTAGCGTAAGCGTCATGCAATAAATTCAATCGATTTTGAACAAACACCTTTAATATATGATTGATGTATTTTATTTATGGCGGGTTTATTATTCAATTAAATTAATATTCTAATAAATTAAATAATAGAGTTAGTATATTTAAGTTTTGATAATTTTTTAATTATAAGGAGTTGTGATTGTGAGATATAGATTACATACGACTGAATCTTAAATCATTCGTGTTCATAAGTAATAACGAAATATATATATTGTTATTACGGATAGACCATGACGTGTGACATTTCTTACTTGTTAAAGTGTCGGGGTTGGGTAAATGGTTAGGGTTTGACAAATCAAGGAAGCACAATTCATTATCTTGCTATCACAAGAAAAGAGAAACCTTAATTCTCTTATTTTTGTTCCCTGTATGGATTTTCATTGAAAGCTGGACAATTAGACAGTTTTGGATTGCAGATCATGTTCGTTCTTATTCAAGACAAGCAAAAGAGTCTACAGAATTCAACAAAAGTATAATTTCTATCACAATTTCTATTTAAATACAAAGCAGATCATTGGTAAGAATTGAAATTAACTTTATTTTTCGCTATCCACGTGAAGTAAATTTTCAACAAGTAGAGGATTCCGAAAAGAAACTTAGGTTTCTGTGTATGATCATGTTATATTTATAATGATAAATTTATTTTTTATTTAAGACCTTGTTTGATTTCCATTTATTTCAAAATACATTTTTTTTCTTTTCAACTATACATTTTTTAATAAAGAGCTTGTTTGGGAGAGATTGTTGGGGGAAGAATTGATTTTGAATAGTGATATGATGGGAAATGTGTGGTTGAAAAAGAAGATAAGATTATTGATGTGATGAAAAATATTATTTTATTGAAAAATGTGTGGTATGAATAGTGATATGATGGGAAATGTATGATTGAAAAAGAAGAAAAAATTATTGATGTGATAAAAAATATTATTTTATTGAAGAATGTGTGGTTGAAAATGAGAATTGATTTACTGTAAAAAAATTTAATTCCTCCCAAACAGGACCAAAATAATATTACACAATATCCAAAAACTTTTCCTTTATTTTTAACCATACATTCTGCATCAATTTACTATTTCAAAATATATCCTACATAAAAAAATGGGGCTTAAACATTCCCTAAATTTGAGATTTGAGTATAAACTAACCAATTGAAGCAGGAGCCAACCGTTTAAAATGGTGTTTGGTGTGGATTAAAATTAGATTTTTAGTGGATTGTGATAAAAGTTTTTGAAATGTGTGGTTGAAAAGATGTGGGACCCATGAATGATATAATTAATATTGATTGTTTAACTTTGACTTACATTAAAATCAGATTTTAATCCGACCCAAACATGCCATAAATAGGTCAATAATCATATGAATTATAATAAGTAATACTTAATGTAGTAACATTTTTCATATATTTTTTATTTTTGAACAATGCTTGATGTACAATAATTTTGACATCATTGTTAACAATATGTCACGTGGTATATTGTCATTGGACAACTTAAAAAATAATTCATCATTTCAACCAATATTTTTTTGTCACAATCAACATTATCAACAATGTTGTACAAAAACATTGTACAAATAACATAATTCTTTAAATTTACGCACCAGTACCATGACTCAGGATTATATTTCAAATGTACTGTTGAGATATGCATGCTCATTTACATACAACTATAGGCATGATATATGATTTTACTTTGTTAATTTTGGTTGATTCAGTCATATAGTTGGTTTTTCATGATATGAGTAATGGTGAAGACAGTAAAGCGACTTGTTAGTGAATAATTGCATCATCTAGACTTGTCAGTTTAATGTTATACATCTTTTTCAGCATAATTTGTACCATATGAATTAAAAAATGATAATTTCTTGCTTCAAGATTTGAACTTGGCCAAAGTCTTTCTTTATTGAAATATAATGTCACAGTGTGTGGACAGTCTAAGCATGAAGCAAATGTATCTATCAAATAAAAGCAACTCACAAGCCAAAAATATTATTTAAAATGCAGTAAGCCAATAATATCTCCAAGGAGTAGCCATGAGATAAAGCTGTTTGTGTTGTGCTCAAAGATACAATCAGTCCATCCTGACCGTCAATCCCACTTCAGGTTTATGATCAGCAAAATTTCACATCAAATGGCATAGACCTGATTCACAGATTATCTCAATTGATGGGATATTTGGGATATTTGTGTGACCCCAATTGTGATGGCATAGACCTGAATCACAAATTGTTTCCTAACACCAACAACTTTGACCCTTGTGGGCCATGCCGTGCACAGTTCTTTGACTAGGTTACATGGTCGTTTTTCATTTTTCAACTCAATTTTTTTATTTTTACTTGTTCGACTTAAATATCTTCTATGAAATCTTCATCGAATCATTTCTTAATTTGCCGGACTTTAATGTTTTACATAAACTATACGTATCTTTATAAAAACAGAAACAAATATTTAATTAATTAAAAGGGAAAATTTCAGCAACAGTCCCAAATGTTTTCAATTTTTACAAACTTTGCCCTAACTTTTATTTTGTGCCAATGAAAGTCCCAACCTTTCATAAATATCCATCTAGACAAAAATTGTCCAAAACACCACCAATTGAGGTGAAAAATTGAAAAATGAGATATTTTGACCATTTTAAGGAGGAGCAATTTTGTCAATCATATATTAATCATTAAATAACTTTTTTTAAAAAAAAACCTAATCCATCCCCTCACCCACCCCAAATACTTCATCTTCTTCAATACACCCACCCCCACCCTCATCCTCATCCTCATCCTCATCCTCATCCTCACCCTACAACGTTGAAGCTGCTCTCATGGCATTACTCAATCAACTACTCTCAAATCCCAATTTTACTCATTTTTCCTCTTTATTTGTCTCTCATTTCATCGCCACAATCCAAATGAAAGAGGACCTTTATTACCCCCAATTTTCCTCGACAAATCTCAACAAAACGAATAAAAAAAAATTTCAAGAAAAAATACCTAAAAAGCCAAAATGATTGATACTAGAGTAGCTGATTTATATCGTATAGATTTAACCACAATATATGTGATATTCATATTCTACTACTCCTCCTTCTTCGTATCTAAAATCAATATAGCATAATTAATCTTGAAAAGAAACATATTTGTAAAGGGTGGATTTGGTTTTGGTATAGTGGGGGTGGTGTGGAGAAGATGAATAGATTATTTTTATTTATTTTTTTTTTTTAAGATCTGTACAGTACTTTGAACAAATGAATGAGGGAAAATATTGTATGGACGAAATTGCTCCTCCTTAAAATGGTTAAAATATCTCATTTTTCAGGTCAACTAACAGTGTTTTGAACAATTTTCATCCAGATGGACCCCAACAGTCCAACTGCATATATATGAAAGGTTAGGTAGGGTAAAGTCTATAAAATTGAAAACGTTAGGGACCAATGTTGCAATTTTTCCTAATTAAAAAGTAAAAACTATTGTTATAATTTAAGATATTTCTTGAAAAAAAAAACTGTAATCGATTAATTCTCATAAAAGAAACTTTTGCTGTAGATGATCATCATAAAATTGTGCCAAAAATACTTGACTTTGATGTTTATGAGAGAAATATCAAATTGAGATAAAATTGACAAGGATGATGCGTTCATTTCAACGGATTCCACTTTTTTTATTGGGGTATTAATTTATTGCAAGAAAAACTTGTACGAGTGCCAAATAGAAAGGGTAACACTAAAGTCTATCTTAAAATAATGAATTAAGATAGCCACCTTCTTCTTTGTCTGTTTCACAAATAGAGGACTCATAGGTGTCCAAACCCTCTCTCTCTCTTTCTCTCTCTCTAAAAAGTGTATCTTTGTTGTTCAGTTTTAACACAGCAACTCTTTGAATCTTTGGAATTCTTGAGGTACTATGTTTCTTTGATGCTTTTAAGGTTGTTTTAAAGAAACTTTCTTTAGTTGCAGTACACTGTTTGATTTTAATGATTGAATAATACTTGGGTTGCTTGAATTACTGTTGTTGGATGTTTACTCTGGGTGGTTCCAATTGTTTTTATTGTGTTTAATTGAAGGATCTTGTGTATCAAAATTGAATTATTACTACACTTTTACGTGTTCGGTACAAAGTATTGGATTACAGACACGGAGATAAAAAAAAAGGGTTAAAATCTTGTTACTGTGTCTGTAGTGTCCAGTCTGGTCGACAGAAAATTTGAATTGAAACTCCTGTTTAATTAGAAGCTTTCGTAATTCGTAATAGAATTTTGCGAAGAAATAAACATTTTTAGCATTAGCACGAAGGAAGAATCATCAAACATTGTTTATATTAATGTATTTTACATGTTTTCTCCTAATTGTTCGGCAATTTACTTTAACAGATGATATCTCACCATGTAGGATCTTATGCACTATAATTAAGGATCATAACTTCCACTGAAGTTCATCAGAAGTAAAAATGAATGTCGACTCATCTTCTACTCGTAAAGATCAAAGGGCATCAGAGAATTCTTTCGTGGTAAACTTGTGAAGCTGCGACAATATGATTAATTTTCTATTATTTCGCAAATCCATCACTTATTGACACTTTTGTCTTATAGATTGTTAACACAGAGAAGCAGTTGTTGGGGTTAATTTACTCTAAAGGTCTTTTACACGGTGACGTTCTAGAGCTATATCATAAAGTCAGAGCTAGTTATGAGAAAATTATTTTAAGCGATTCAGACCTTAAGGAGCTTAAGGAGGCTGAGTATCTTTTGTGGAAGCTGCATTACGTGCACATTGATGAATTTCGTAAACGGATACGGCAGAATACAAAAAGGGATGCTCAGCATGACAACGTTAATTCTCAAGCAAACATTGATAGACATCTGGAAGGATTTAGGACATTTTTGTCTGAAGCGATGGAATTCTATAGGAATTTGATCATAAATCTTAGAACAACTTGTGGGTTCCCGGCAGAAGTTTTCATGGATAATAAGGTTGGAATTTCACTTTCTATTGAGCCCACAAAGCTGCATAAATGTCAATATACGTGCCATCGCCTTTTGGTTTGTCTCGGGGATCTTGCGAGATATACCGAGATTTTTAAGAAGCCTGATGCCTGTATATGGTCCGTTGCAGCGTCCTACTACGTAGAAGCAACCAGAACATGGCCAGATAGCGGAAATCCCCATAATCAGGTATTTTTCTTTGTAATATCTCCTTATTATTGGGGCTCCTATTTATTCTGAAAACTCAATACGATGTTTGGGCTTTTATAATCACGTGATTTGTTTATAGGGAAAGTAGTTTCACTAGAACCCTGAAAAACTGAACTATTTTGACCATTGTAAGATTTGAATTTAAAAGTTTCAGCGTGTTTTCAGTTAGCATTGTTGGCAACATATGTTGGTGATGCTTTTCTTGCTGTGTATCACTGCACAAGGAGTTTGGCAGTTGAAGAGCCTTTTCCTGATTCGTGGAACAATCTTATGTTGCTCTTTGAAGAGGTGAAACTCGTTGTTGTCTCAAAAAATATATAAATAAATAAGCCAAAAAATCATTCTTTCCATATATGGATTAATTTTGTTATTCCCTTTGTTGTGATTTTGCAGAACAGGATATCTCATTTGCACTTGCTTTCTTCTGAGGTGCAGTTTGACTTCTCAAATCCATCAACGAGACTATCCTTACAGAATAAATCACATGCAGATAGAGGTTCTGCAAATCGCATAAACTTCGAAGACCTGGAGAATGTTTCTGCTGCAAAATTCAACTTATGGCCCATGTTTATCCGAATGATAAGCTTACTTCTCATAAGATCAAGGTGCTAATTTCAGCATATTACTCTTCTTTCTTGCATTTATTATCACTTTTTCGCGCTTTTTAAGGCTATTAGCTGTATCAGCGCTATCAGTATCATCATATTCGAGCACTCTGTTCGATCTTACTGTATCTGGTTGATATCCCAAATAGTTGTTTAAGTGTAAGTGTGAAGTCTCTGAATTTTTGCAAATGGAAATTTCGTAGAGGATCATTTATCTAGGATTTATGCACTGTACTTATTGAAAGGAGAAAGTCTATGGCCAAGGAGAAAAATTTACCATGCATTGTTCGTACTTCAATTAAATTCCCTTTTCAGCATGAATTTTCTAATCTAGTTCTGCAATGGTTTGTCTAATGCAGTTTGCAGGAATTTTCAAGCACTCTTGCTTCTTGGGTGAGCACGTTGGAAGCTTTATTGGCACTGGATGATGCAGAACTAAATGCTGCTCTTGAGTCTTACCAACATATGGATTGGGCCAGAAAAGGCCCTTATCGTGCAATTCAACTTGTTTGCATACTCATCTTCACCTTCCATAGATTGGCCGAAAACTCGGAAAGAAAGGAGCAAACAGAAAGAGACCAGGAAAAGCTGTCTGCTCAGACACCATTAGCACTAACTTTTATGTTCATTTGCATGGGTCGCCTTTCTGAGAGATGTCTGAAAGGTAATTATATGAAAATTTGCCCACTTTTACCGGCTGTGCTAGTGTTTGTCGAGTGGTTAGTCGGCACTATCAACCGAGTAGTAGCATATGTTGCAGATGAGAGGGTTATGAATGCTGTATCTTACTTTTTCAGTTCTCTGGCTGATCTCTTGAATCGATTTGATGAAAATGAGAGAGCAATGGTTCCTGATTATACTGCTCTTTGGGAAGATCATGAGTTGAGGGGGTTTTATCCGATAACTCAAGCACAGGCTTTGCTCGACTTCACGACTCGATCGGAATGCATGGAAGATTTCAAGAATAAGAATATACTGCGTTCTCGACGCATGCTTCATTCGGCAAGAATAATTGTAAACAGTCTTAATGGTTCTCCAAACTGGATCTTTTATGATAAAGTGGAATGCAAATTTTATACGGGAGAGACGAGAAAATTCGACCGAGGAGGAGTGGAATTAGCAGTATCCAATTCTTGTCCAGAAATTACTGAGCCTTACGAGCAGACGGCTAGATCCATAGAGGAAGAGGAATCTTTATCAGGCAAAAGTCGAGATCACCCCAGTTTAAACACCCACACTGCGACTACAGAAGAGGAAGAAGTCATTCTCTTCAAGCCGATTACAAGACATAACTCGGCTCCACTATATATTTCCAATGCCAAAAATGATCAAGTTTCTCATGAAGGCAAGGAGATTCACACAACAATTCCTGATGAGTTCTTGCGTCGTGCCACATCACTTTGTATTGCTCAGAATCTGCCTGAGAATGATTCATTCAGTTTCTGCCCCATCACATCTGATTCAGAACCCAGCAGGCCATTCAAACAGCAAGAGCCTCAACTGAAGGACATGACTGGTCACCCACCCGGGCCTCCCTCCCTGAATGCTTGGTTCCTTAGTAGAGAAAGTTCGAATACTGAAGAGAAAGGGCTAAAGGACTTGACTAAGCACAAATTAAGTCCCATTGAGGAAATAGCTTCTAAATCATTTTCTAATATCTCGATCGACGAAACTAAGGATTCTGAGGATGCCCTGGTGCAGATTTCAGCAAGTATCCCGAGTTCTCCTTATGTTGCCCCATTGCCTTCTGCCCCAGTATTACCTGATGACGATCTTTGGTTTAGGAGGAATTTGTCTAATTTTCCAGAGTTGAAGCCTGCAGGCGGGAACCAGTCAGATGGTATTCTAGGCGCAGCACCAACCCTTGGATTCCCCAGTCACTCTGTAATTGCTCCACAGATTGGTTTTCGTCCTGGAGTTCTTGGTCTTGTCGATGGATACCCACCACTACTTGGAATGAGTTCTTCCGAATGGCTATATCACTATCGAAACAGTCAGAACCCAGAGAGTGCCAAGAATCTCATATCACCAGTCCACTTCGATGCCCCTGCCTACGGAAGTTTTCACACGAATGACATTTCCACATTCGAACTCTACGACCAGTGGGGAAATCGTTTTGTTTCCAGTCCCACTGTGTATTCAGACAACCCTCGACCATATCTAAATCCTTCCCTTGTTTATGGAGCAGAAGGACAAAGAAGGGACAAACTTTTTCTTGGTTATCAAAGATCATTTCCATATGTATGTGGTGTTGGAATGGAGTTAAGAACAGAACAGCCACCACTTCTGCAGTATCTTAAAGAGAGAGAGTGGCAGCTGCAGCCAGATTCCCAACTAAAAGGTCCAACTTTTATGGGATGAATCTATCATCATATAGAAGTGTGTATATACATAGAAAGTATTAACATTTGGAAATTGGCACCATGTGTGATTTTCTGTAACTTATTGTTTACAGCATTTTACAGATTCAAATGTTGGGTTGAATTAACATATTTGCAATTTTGCATGCATTTAGTGTACCATCTTCAATCAGCTTCATCTACAACTCTACGAGGTTTTTTTCCGTAAAAATTTCATCTTTTGGCTTGTTTGGTGAAGATGTCTAGACGATAACTGTTGAAGCAAGCATTTCCCGTTCAGTCGGTAACGAAACAATATGAAGGGGGTTCAAAGTACTTGCTTCGTGCATTTCCTTCTTAGCATGGTATATATTGGCTTAAGTCATGGATGTTTGAAACAATGGTTTCATCATTTAAATTATAAAAGAATGATTAGATCGTAAATTCCTTTTCAAGATCAATTTAATGAGTTTTTTCCTAATTTTTATTCATTGAGAAATCATTATAGCAATGTATCCTATCTTCTTGCTCCAAATTTAGAGGGTATAAATGAATATTTAAAACCTTTTGTCCCGTAATAATCAAAATCAAGAAATTTGCCACTGAAATGCAATCTCAGTAATACTATGGACCAGTTTTGTAATACACTATACCAGTACGGGCCCTGGGCCCAAAAAGTGAGGCCCAAATTTTCTTTGGGTTGGCCCAAACGTTTTGTTGAAACTGATTAACCCAAACTCTCTCTCTCTCCTTCACACACACACACGCCCACAAATCTGAAATCTGAGGAGCCCTAATTCCCTAGAATGGAGTCTAAACAATCAAGCACAGAAGATTTCTCATCGGCAAAAGCAGTCTTGCTTGGAGCCTTAGCTCCTGGGGTTAACGTATGAAATAAGTTTCTCATCTTTTAGTCATCACTCCGAAGTTTCTCTGTTCCAATTATTTGTACCTATTTCAACCAAAAAAAATTCACAGATTTTGATCTTTTTGTATTTTAATTTTAGGGTCCTACTTGGAATACTTTAAAGATTTCATTCTTGATGCTGGGTCTATGTCTGGCTGCTATGTTGGGCTTAGCTTTCTCTTCCAGTGACTCTGCTTTGGTACTCCATGTTACATTTCTTTTTCTGATTACGGGCACCCTTTTCTTGCTCCTTACTAGGTACTACAATTTTCTCATAAATGGTTAGAATTTAGAGAATGTTTGACTAGGCCAAGAAAAAAATAAAAATACTTGTGTAATTACTTTATAGTAACTTGCTTTTAAACTAGAATCTATAAAAGCTCAACATGTTAGTCAATAAAAGAATTACTTGATAGTAACTTTATTTTTCTTAGTCTTAGCCAAAAACATGTTCTCAGTCATATTGAAGATAAGGAGTTTTCTTTTCTTTTTCTGGGTATGTCCTTTTTTTATGGACATCTGTACACATTGAATGTGTGTAGCGAGCATATAGGCAATAAGTCTTTTTAACTTTGATCAGGCAATTCTGTACACGAATAAGGTTGGATATTAAACCTTGTTGTGATGGCATGTTTTTATATGTATGGACTACACAAAAATGTTCAGGACAAGCAATACAAATTTAACTAATTTTTATAATTTAATCTTATGTAGCTTTGTTCAACCCAGCATATTGGAAATGCCATATAAGTTTTTGATAGACCATTTAGACACGTCTTTCTGTACGGGATGCATGGTGAACAAGTTCATGGCTCTTTTGAGATGGTGTGTATGTGTACGCAGTGATAGCTAAGGCTTCATTTGGTCCAAATGCCTTGGCCATAATAAGTAAAATAAACTAGGTCCTTGTTTGATGGAGATTAAAATCAAATTTTTTGTAAAATTTGATAAAAGTTGATGAAATTTATGGTTGAAAGGTTGTAGACCCCATGGAATGTTTGGTTAAAATGAGTTGTTGACTTTGATTTAGATTAAAATATAGGTTTTACTTTCTACTAAACAGGGGCTAGGTGTACAATGCATGACTTTTCGAATGGTGATCAACGGATTGGTGTTACATTCCTAGTAGTCTTATAAAATCGTAAATTGTGCCTTTAGGGACTTTAGGAATTTTTTTGTCAGATCATGACTATAAACAGATCTTCATACTGCAATCTTAACTTCATGCTCTATATACGTTGTTTTTGTGTTGGGACTGGGTATTAGACTTTTGATATTGCCTTCATTTTAGAAACATCTTAATGTAGTACATAATCATGATTAGTAGTTAGAGGAGGTGGTGGTGTTGAGGGATGGGAATGGGGATTTTACCAAGGCTAGTGGTTGCGAGCTGGATGTGAGTGATAAGCCCATAGGACTGGGAGTCAGATCCAGGAGGTATGCTATGTATGTGGAAGATGGGGTTGTGAAAATCTTGAATTTGGAGGAGGGTGGCGCCTTCAATGTTAGCAGTGCTGAAGATATGCTCAAAGCCCTTTGAGGGTAATGTTTTTTCTTTGAGCTTTTCAAGTTGAGTTTTTGTTCATTATGAAGAGGATAAGAATGGTTTTTATATCTATGAATAAATGTGGTAGAGTTATGTAGATATTCAGATGAAATCCACGGGCTATATTGCCCCTGCGCATGGAAATTTATTGTTTAAATGAAAGCTGTTTTGTTTTTCGATTAGATATTGTCTCGTTCGCGAGAAAAAAATATGTTTATTGCACTGTTTAGTTGAAGTGTCCTTGCAGAAATAGCTTTATAAGTGCAGATAACAATTTGTTTTTTGGCTTGTGCGAGTATATGTTTTAGGTGTTATTTGATTTGGAAAATATGGCTAAGGTTGATAATGTATGGTCTGAATATAAGTTTTGGATGTGGACAGTATATAGATTACTCTTTTTTTAATTCTGAAAGTCTCTGTGTGTCTTAAAACAAGTTATTGTGAGTGTATCGATATGGTGAAAGATATTTAGATCAGTTCAACTTATTGTGTACTCATATATGTACATTCCGGTTAGTTGTGCTTCCTATCTTTTTTATTTGGTGCGGCTTTGAGTACATTCCATAAAGGGTTTTTATGCCTTGTATCTAATACACAAGACTGATTTTTGGAGTTGGGTTGCTAGGTATGATAAACTTTTCAAAGTCTGAAATGTTGATTGTAATTATCTGCTCTCTGTTTACCATTACTAGGAACAACACAGTTGTATTCACATGAAAGCTATATCGACGAGTTTACCATGAACTGAGTTTGATATACAGTCGGACTTAAAATGTCTCAAGAAGCTAGTCTTGTTATCCATTACACTTATTCTTCAAGTTCTTTTTTTTTTTTTTTTTTTTTTATATTTGTTATTTTATTTATCTTTTTTTTTTTTTTAATCTTATTTCTTGTTTAGATTAAAATTTTAGTTTATTACTTATTTAGAATTTAGTTTCCTTATGTTAATAGGATTGAAGAATAATTTTGCATATAAATATAAATGCATTATACAATTTTTGAATAATCAATCATTATTCCATATATGCAAAGCAAGATTATTTCAATATTGTTCTTGGTTTCAATTCGTATTACAAGAATTTCTAAATGCTTCCGCACTAAAATTGGTATCAGAGCAAGGAAATTACATCAATCTTACAGAACTAGTTAAAATCCTCCACTCTTGTGCCATCAATGCAATTCTCCGGTTAAAATCCTTCGGTGGTGCCATTATTGCAATTGGTTGATATAATGTTCTATTGAATATTATGTGCTCTCTATTTATGAGAAAATCCTACTGGAGACCTGGTTTGCTTACTAATCAATCACCGGCATTTGGTATTTTTTGATTCCTGTGTCTGGTCGCCTGGGGAGTGGCTTTACACTCACCCTGCTATTTGCTGCTGTCATATAAAATAGGTCTAAGTAGATTTTTTCTTTACTCTACAATCTGTTCATTTACATAGGTCAATAGAAATGCATTATTTCATCGTCTTTTGTGTTTGTTTTGGATGGTGAATATTAACCTATATAACTGATTGGAGGAATAGAAAAAGAAATACATATTCTTTCTATCAGAACCTTTCTAGCAGTAGCTTGGATGTTGCTGTCTTGATTAGGGATGACTATTTCTTTTTGGTTATCATGCATTCGTACCATTTAAGCTGAATTGTGATGAAGTTTCATTGAGCAACAATCTTATGTCTCTTAGTATAATTTGAGCCATGAAGGAAAAATCCACGTCTCTAAACTGTCCATTATTTGACTGCATTTATGGATGGTTCCTAGTTGAGAAAATAAATGCTGTCAATTGCAATAGTTTTCTTGGTTTCCCTTGCTTACATTTTGCCACAATCTAGTTATATGTTTTGCTTAATACGAGTTTGTGAAAATGTGGCTTAAGGGGCAATATGGACTTTGTGGTAGGCATTAATTACCCACTAAATTCATGTGACAAGTAAATAACTTTTAATTCGTGGACTAAATTCTTGTTATGAACCTATAAATTCTACAGGTGCTTTTGTTTACCTTCAATTTGATGCCTAGAGTTTTGAATGCATCTATTGATAATGAATCGTGATTGATAGGCTTCTAACTCATTTGGGGTCTATTTTTTCGTAGATTTCTCGCTGAGACAGGGCTTGTCTCAGTCAAAAACCAAATGCAGGAGATCGGCTTAGCACCTGGAAATGGAGAGGATAAAAGCAAGAAGAGCAACTGAAGCAACTCAATACATTATACAGTTTCAGAAGTACAATAAATGGAAGAAACAATCTCAAGTAAAAAAAAAAGTTAATATAACTCGTCTCTTGATTTTTGAAGATCTGCTCATTTCTTCATTAATTTGTGCTTCAATCTTCCTTTAGTTCCTTCTTCTTCGACTTGTCCTTTTTGGCCTTGATGTAGCAGAAACACGAGCAGCAGGGTAGCTGCAACAAGAACTTCATTTCTCTTTCCGTTATGACATTTGTGTTGACACAATACCTCACTTATAGATGACGAATACCTTGATAGATGTTTTTGCCCATTTGTATTAATGTATTTTGATTCTTTTCCTAACCCTTCCAGATAAAGATGCTTATCTTATCATGTTAATGCACTAAAGATAAGAAGATGCTTATCGCCAATTCAAGATTAGTGCCTCCTTTTGTGTTTTTATTCCCTAAGGTGGATATTACAGTGCTCAAATATATTATGAGCCTTGTTGAAGAGTTTCATGAGGAAGCTATTGTAATTGGTATTTGAAAACTAATTTTTAAAAAAGAGTTATTTTTCGGAAGAGCTTTTGAAGGAAGTCATATTTTCCAAAAGTTCTTCTAGATAGAATAATCACTTCTATAAAATTAACCCAATGGGTTTTAAAGTTACTTTTAGATCTCGAAAGTTCCTTGTGACTTCTCAAAAATCAAGCCAAACGAGCCATATATTAAATGATGTTAAAATCTTGTACATCATCACAAAAGTTGGCCATATTGATTACTGTGTTTGCTCCAGCGGAAGCGGACGGTTTTGTACATTTTCATAGAGAAAAATAGAACACTCGGTATTGTGTAGTTTCATAGAGAAAAGAATCCTCTTTGTATCGCTCTATCCCAACAAACGAGTAATGAAGCAACTCAGTAATGCTGGACATCAAACATGCCCTAAAAGTCTTCCCCTACGCTTCACAATGTTCAAACATCGTCAGGTGATTAATCTGCTAAGAATTTCAATACTACCTACAATTTCCCGGCATTTCAAGACTGCATTTTCAAGTACCATTCAGGCCTGTTATTGCATAAAAATGAAGAAGAAAGCACATTTCTTGCACATTAAACATATTTGGTTCAATAATAGGAGAAATATGATTGAATAAGTAAATAAAATAGGCATACTCACATAAAATCGCTTGTTTCTTTCACTTGTGAAAAAATCTTAAAACGGAAATAATTTCTACAAAAAAATGAGAACTTGATATGGAGTTTGCAAATCTTTCACTTCCAAAGTTCTTCCATAGGGATGCCACGCTCTTCAGCCACTTCACTGAATTGCCTCATTTTCTGCACAGCGACAACCGTCGCTCGTGCATTGTTGAGAGCATTGTTGCTACCAAGTTGTTTTCCCAATGCATTTTCAACCCCAGCCAGTTCCAAAACGATCCTTACGGCACCTCCAGCAATAACTCCCGTACCTGGGGAAGCAGGTCGAAGCATAACTCTAGCTGCCCCATAATCTGCCTCAGATCTGCCATTTCAGTTCATCAATAATATCAGAAGTTAAACAAAAAGTGACTTTCATCAAACATCTAACTAGCAATGTCAGTCAACATTTTGATATTCCCTGGATTCACGGAAAACTTGACAGATTTAACAATTTAATCAAACAACCCAGTCAACTCTCACACTAATCTTAATCTTTCGACTTGTTCCAATTCATATTACCTAGTATCTCTATCGAGTCCCAACACTTACATAATAGGTTGGTTTTTGAATTTCTTGATAAGTATATTTTCTACACTTATTCCAGACTTGAAACTATAGAATTTTATTGTTCTTTTGGCAAATTATGACCTAAATTGTATCACATTACATCTTGTAGGTAAAACTCGATGTTTGATGAATAATTGGAGAAAATAAGCAAAATTTAGCCAAAATGGCGAAATCCAAAGTTTGAGGATTAAATTGCAAATACTCAATGGTTGATTCGGACCTCAAGAAGATACTTTGAAATTTGTTAGGAGACAATTGGATTGAATTAGAATTCAAAAATGAATGGAATATGATCAAAATATTATCAGAGTCAATTTCCAATTGCACGAGATATATTCTAGATTTTTAGTCGAAAATTGAGACCCTTTTTTGGCATAGTAAACATCCGAATTGAAAAAACTCTATTTCTAGAAAAGTTGTAGAAAGTTGAGTTATATTTCCAACGCACTTTGAATCGTCTCAATCGGATATGAGGAGAGAAAGTTATGACTAAAATACAGACTACTGTGCAGAAGCGAAAAATTCGCGTTCAAAGACAACTTTCCTTATTCGATTAGAACTCTTTTGGAAATCAATTTGGACATGATTTTCAACCAATTTTCGACTCCTACAAATAGAGAACGGCAGAATACATATGGAGAACCTCCCTAGACCTAAAAATCTCTATATTATACATATTTTGGAAGCGAAAAACATGGCTAACAACGTGAAATCAAGACGAATTGCATAGGATATTGAAAATTCTTTATCCGGATTCAAGATTCACATCAAGAACGTGGATTTTTCCTACTTCCATCTTTCTTATTTCCGGGTGATGTTTTTCCAATTATTCTTTTGTAATTTAATTATAAGAATGTTAGGCTAGTTTTTCATTGTATTGGATGAATGATGAACCATATTACTTATTTGTTTTAATTCGAGACAATTAATTTAGTACTTCTTGATTTTTCTTGATTGGTTTTGCATTCCCATTGAGCTATTTGATTGCTTGATCACCAATTAGATAGTAAGTTGCTTGTTGTAGTGTAGGAATACTCACAATAAGTCTAGAACGCGGCAAAATCAACATATGGACAATAGGTATTAGGAATAATATCTATGGCATGTGCAATCACGTGTGATAAATCCTGTGAATCAATGCATGTTTTTCATATGAATTCGGACCAGGAATAAGACCAGGTCATGTTAAACATAGGTTTAATATATCTTAGAAAAAAATAATGAATAACAGTGGATTATCAATTGTCTTGAATTCCTGAATTTACTAGATTACGAATTAAGAATTAAATTAAATGGCAATAGGGGGATTCACAATTCCAATACAAACATTTGCATAATAAATAAATACTTCATTTGTTTTGTTAGTTTATGATTAATATAGATTACATACAAATCATCTCTTTTTGATATTACCACACTTTGAATTTAATAGTAGCCGTTGAACTACAAATTAGACCTTATTTCTCGGGGGAACGATACTCTTAACTCACAAATCTTATTACTTGTACAACAATCTCGTACGCTTGCGGGTTTCACGCGAACATTTCTCCACAGGGCTAAACAAATTCTATCCTCTTTCTTCCCAGTTGATGTTAGATATCAATGCCATTTAACATTAATACTTTGGACACCAAAATTAACATAACACGGTGTTATTGCAAACACATCAATTTCCTATAAACTCTCACAAGAGTCACCGTTGGATTGACAGGACGTCGAAAGTATTCATGTAATTGAGCCAAATATACGACTGTTAGACTTAGCTTCTTCTTCTTCTTGTTTAACTTTACCAATTTCGAACTCCAACATCAGAATCAAGAACCATAAATTGCACCATCAGACTATAATTTCAGTCCCAATTTTAATTGGTCTAAAATTTCAGAAATCAATCATTCAGCTAATAATTATACTCAAGATTCATAATCCAGTTCATACATGCAAACTTTATCAGCAACCTTCAAAGAAACCAGAATTTAAATAATTAGCAAACACATTTCTACAATGCCAACAAATATTCATTGAGAAAACGAATCAAAACTAAATGTTATTAAACAAAATTCTGTAAATAGGCATAATCTTTGGAATCCCAGGAATTATGAAATATTTACCATTAATTAATCATGCCAAAAAAATAATGTTCGTTGAAGGTAATTCTCCCAACAGACAATGGATTGTTGATTGTTCATCAAAGAGATACCTGTGGGGGAAAGTCTTGTACTTGGTCATGGGAACTGTAATGATATTCCTCCTGGCATTAACAGCAGATTTTTGTACAGCACCAATTACTTCCTTAGCTTTGCCTACTCCAACCCCAACATTCCCCTGCTTATCACCTACCACAACAACAGCCCTAAAATGCAATTGCTTCCCTCCCTTTACCACTTTAGTCACCCTCCTAACCTGCACAACTCTCTCCTCAAATCCATCTCTGATTTTTTCTTTCTTCGATTTAGAACCAAACCCAGTTGTTTTCTTCACTTTAGAGTCCATTGAATACACATCATTACCAAGAAAAGTCTCTCCGCTGTACGCAGCGCCGTATAATTCCTCGTAGGCCCTGGCAATCTCGTCCTCTGACTCGAATGGGCCTTCGTCGAAGGAGGGTGGTGGGACGAAGTCTTCAGGGCGTTCCGGGGGGCTGAATGTCGAGATTTCTTCTGGGTCAGTTGTGTCAAAGTATGTGGTGTCGATGTCGGAAGAGTTGGCTTTGATNGTGTCAAAGTATGTGGTGTCGATGTCGGAAGGGTTGGCTTTGATTGGAGTGAGTTTGAGGGGGAGGGAGAATGGTGTTTTTGGCTGTTTTGGGGCAAAGGAGGGGTGGAGAGAAGAGAGGCGAGATGGGTGGTTCTGGCGGAAGGAAAGGGAGAAGGTGGCGGAGAGAGAGGTGGAGCAGGCAGCCATAGTGATGGTGCGGTGTTGGTTGTGAGTAAGGGTAGCGTTTTCAATTAGTGACTGAGGATAAGACATTTCTTTACATCAAACGATGTAGGAAAGGGAAAATTTCGATAGACGTCCCTAAACTTAAGGACTTGTTCCGTGTTAGTCATCAAAATGCAATTTATTTCAAAATAGTCATTTAATTAACGATTCTATTCACATTCACGACTCCGTTCATCACGTAAATCCTAATTACAATAAATAATGGGTCCAACGGGTCACGCAGATTTAATTATGTAGATTGTTAATCAATGATATTGTAGTCATTAGTTGCCATCACGTATATATTGAAAGAGTCACATAATTTGTTTAGACCATGAACATGAAATAAAATGATAAAGAAAGAAAAAGAAATTAAACAAACAATGTGCATTGAGTGAATATATTAAAATAAATTAAAGTTCGATGATTAATATGAAACAATCCTATATCTTAGGTGACATCAAATGAATTTTTTTGAAAGAATGATATTATAATTTGGGCTGAAATTCACTTGTTTATACCAAATGGACCTCAGGCCCAAATTCTAAGTCGAACGTGGACAAATTCACTTTATTTTTTATTCTGCACTTGTTGTGGCTACCTAGTTTGATGTTCTTAAATTTAAGAATATTTTACTCTCAAAAAACTACTAGTATCTTTGTGTTGAATATTTATATAGTTCAATTCAATAGTTTGAGGGAAAATTAGATCCGTTCTATTGCAAAAATTACAAAAATAGATATCGGAAATTATCCATAGGGACCTTTTGCATACAAAATCAATAGGTTGAGGAGGTCAAAGTCAAGAATGAAATATTAAAGACCATAAGGCCATAAGCGAATCGAGAGAGATTGTCTGGATTGTTTTAACTTGGGAACATGAAGTTGATATTGTTAATAATCGCTGATCAACATGCCACGTTAAATATGTACTTAGACCCTATATACTACGCCCATCGTACCTTGGAAATTGATTTCAATCAAAGTATCAAGCAAATGATCACCCATGACTTTTGTATCAGACTATTGCCACAGAGACTTCTAGTGGACTTATTGATGCATACCAAATGAATCATTACAAACCGTTTGTGCGTAAGGCCATACGTTTGGATCATTTCTACCAATTTCCTTTGATTATTTAGAGCTTGTTTGGGATAGATTTTTGAGGGAAGAATTGATTTTGAATAGTGATATGATGGGAAATATGTGGTTGAAAAAGAAGACAAAATTATTGATGTGATGGAAAATATTATTTTATTGAAAAATGTGTGGTTGAAAATGAGAATTGATTTACTGTAGAAAAATTTAATTCCTCCCAAACAGAGCCTTAGTTTTACGTTCCGCACGTGTCCGTCCAACGATAAATTATTGGTTTTAAGGTTGGATGAATGAGTAAAAGGTCACAAAAATGTCTGGTCTTTCTGGGCAAATATTGATAGCTCCGTACAAGGAAATAACCTAAGAACATATATCGTTGATGTTTGTGTAAGTACCAACAGACACAGACAAACGAAAATGGTCCACACGGCAATAACTAATCGTGGAGCAGTTGTAACCTCCAACGCTCCTAATGGAAATTAGCGTCATCTTAAATATTGTCATTGGCCTAATTGTTATAATAAGCTTTTACGGAAGTCATCGCGATTTTTTACTGGTCTAAGCGACACTCGAGATCAATGGACTTGAACCAATTACATTTGTTAAGACTCAGTCCGGTGAGGTTATTCTTCTAGATGGTACCACACAATAGACGCTACGGAAAAGTTGTTTGTATAGAAACATCTTGCACAATGGGTTACAGATGAATATGTGACAGGATTTTAGCAGATGGATTAACTGTGTTTTTGTGGAAGATGGTGTAAGAACTTGCCAAACGTAAATTCTATAAACGAAG